CTCTGCGATTCTGTGAAATTCAGAACTGCAGTCCTCGATTGCCGTGCCCACAGAGGCCTCGCTCAGCGTCTGGCTGCAGCCAGCCGGGCAGCAGGCAGGGAGCTGGGTGAGCACATGCTGCCCTCTGCAGTCTCTCTCCTCTCTGCTCCGCAGCCCCAGCATGCATGCGGTTTGACGGCTTTCTTTTCCAAGCCCATGTTTCAATCTCCCTTTCCACCCACAGGACAGGCTGAAGAGACGGTTATAGCGTGATAATGTCAGTATTGAAATAGGGAGAAGAGGGAAGTCCTGGGAAACCGGTGCTCTTAGAAGATGCCAAAAATACACGTCAATCAATACCAATACGTAAATCTCTAGACTATAAATAAACACAAAATTTCACTAGCGTCTTCAGTGTTTGCACTGGCTATTTTTCTGCATCAGCTCAAGCAGCAATTGGTATTGAAAATCAGAATAAAGAGTGGATTCAGAACAGCTCTCATCCCCCTGTGCTCCTGCCTTGCAAGCGCTCACTTCTACACCTTTCCTCAGGGGAGACAGCCACAAAGCAGCACACAGGGCGAGGGCGACGCTCTGCTGCTGCAGGGGAGCTGTATTTAAAGCACAGTGCCTGTTTGCATTTGACAGGAAAATCCTCAACTATTAAATGCTAGCAACGTCTTTTGGGAGATTTCTATTGATATCTTCAGTAAATGACTAAGGAAAATAAATCCTTTAGGGGTTAGAATGATACTGGAGGCTCTTTGCATTATGTCTTTCTCAGGAACCATGAAGCATATGAGAATAATGTGAGGTTGCTCGAAACCCAACTGTGGAGCCTAAGGTATCCTCCAAACCAGAAATCCATAATTTCCAATTTTAAAGTTGTGCACAAGGCACTAACAAGGTTGTAATCCCTTAGCTGATTAGTACCTGTATATAAACATTCAAATCTTGATTTTGTCTCTGATTACTTTAGCAGGTAAAAGAAAACGAAGAAAAGGGGATCAGTTTCAGCTCCCTAGAGATCTGGGATAAGTTCTCACTGTGAAACACGTAACTTGCATGAGAGTTATCATAATCCAAAGATAGCAGAATTCTAAGTCTTGGTCTTGAATGACATCATGTAGTAGGTTATAGTGGGTGCTTCTACTGGTTTGGGAGCCTGGCTAAGGAACTTGCAGAGCCTTCTGTGTTCCTTCAGAAGCAGAAAGTTTGCAGACTCCAGCCACTTACCTGAGGATAACTTTGAGATTCTTCATTCTGACAGCTTCAAGCTATAGTGTTACCAGGATTTTAGCATTAGCTTGATTTCTTGTTTTCTGCAGAGATTTTTTTTATACCAGGCCTTTGAAATGTTAGGGGGAAAACAGAAAAAAAAAAACCAAAAAAACAGTTGAGCTAGAAAGAGATTCATTAGAATGTGTAGTTCATTGTATTGATATGCTGTTTAGCACCTTATCTTTGCAATTCTTTGAATGTCAAAATACACTTATAAATAGAGCATGTCTTTTTGTGTCTGTAGTATTATTCTCAAGACGTGATTTTCTTTTAATTGTGATTTCCTGGGGTCAGGATATCTGTACAGAACCTTGTAGTGATTTACCCAGTGAGAAAAAGATTTTCATGTACGATTACCTCCTCTTTATTTGTGCATTTATGAATCCTTTTTTCAGAAATTCTTATGTAGCTGCTAATGCTGCTCAAATTGCCATGGTTTTTAAAGAGAATAATGCTTATTGATAGTTCCCACATGCACTGGCAGGCACATCTAAAACCTGTACTTTTGTGTTCACAGCTTGCATAATGTAAAACGTAGAGATTGCTTGTCAAACTAAGTGTCAGCTGAGTTTCCTAGGAAACTCACTGAAGATATTTATAAAACTACAGATCAGCTTAATAATAGATATAATAATGTCAGTAGCTCGTGATTGTTGTTTTTTTAACTTTATCTGTTCGTTTTTCTTTTGCTTTAATTTGTTAGCGTACCAAATGGCTATATTTCCAAACAGACCTTCCTTTCAGTGTCTTCCTTCCAGTTTATTTAAAAAAAAAAAAAGTTATCTGGGCCATTCCACGTCAGGTAGTACAGACCAACCTACAGCAAAATTAAGGAGAATGTTGATGTCCTACTCATTACCAGAACAACAAAATAAAACCAGAACTGAGAAGTAGAAATACAAATACTGTGTTATAGTTGTATTCACACTTGAGTTGGAAGCCTGAGTTTAAAGTTCATTGCATTTACATGCAAAACAGTTATTGCAGAATTATCATCAGTATTGAGTGCAGTTTTCTATAGAAGATGCATAAGTAGAAGACCTGTCAGTACTGAGATAAGATGTAGTTCTGTCAAAATAATTCTATCCCTCAGCTGAAAAAGACATGAGTTAAAAAGAGAGGATTGATGATGCTGATGTCCATTTTTATTCCTTTCTCTGCTATTCTGTTTTCCTCACACTGATCCTTTGAGCCGAGATTTAGAAATTATCATATCTTAAGCACTGTAAATTTGCTTGGGTATGCAACATCTGAGGCTGCATATATGTATGAGTGTACATTACACCAGACCATAATTATGAAAGGCATTTAATATTAGTAGAAATTAATGTTATTTAGAAAAAGAAAAGTCATTGTTTTCACATTTTAATACAGCTGCGAGACTGAAGCTAATGTGTTTAGAAGTACTGACTCTTTATCTCATCTGGAATCCATTACTTGTACTTGCTGCAGAAATTTGCCTGTCAGAGCTATTTTTTGATTCTGTGCTAATTAGCCAAGTAAGGAGCTTCTATGAAGGATGTTCAAGAATTGATTTCCCTTCAAGGAAGTCCAGAGTCTACAAAACTCAGTGCACATTCATTTTACTTCCAAAAGAAATCCTAGGAAACCATCACACACCAGAAGAGTTAATGTTAGGTAAAGCTAAGAAATTTAGCCCAGTCCTAATAGTGGTCAAATGTTGATTTATTGGATGCCAGTGGTATCACTGCAGCCTGGTAGAGTGGTTAGCATTTAGAACCCTGTAAAACACTGCCTTCATTTCAGTATAGATGACATGTGGCCAGCGGCCTTAGAAGCGTGAAAACGTTACAGCTATCTAAACTGATCTTTATTAAGCACTATGTTGAACAGAGCTGTCTCTTACCTGTGGCATTCCCATTAAGGATGTTTGAAACATATTCTTTTACTTGGAACATGACTTAGGCCAATATCAAGAACATAACTGCCAATGCTAACAGCCAATAACCGTCCTAAAATCATGTGTACAGGGGAGAGGTGTGCATCGGTGCTAACTACTGAGTTACTTAATCATTTTGGATCAATGCTACCAACATGATGTTGGTGTGTGTTGAAGAGTCAAGATGTGATTTATATATCACCTCCAGCAGTAATGCTTCTGCAAAAAAATGCTACTGATTTGTTTAGTCTAGTGGGATTTGGGATGGGGTCATGTTTGTGTACAAACACTTGCCTTTGCCCACAGTATTAACCATATCAAACTGTTTATAAACTAGACAGAAAATGTCGGGACATATTTGGAGAAACTAGAATGCTGCCCATACAGCTTTGCTAAGGACAGTGAGTACTTGTTGAGGAGGTTCAGCTTGGAAGCATTTTTAATGGGGGTAGGATTGCCATTTTTTTCATCTTATTGTGTGCTGCAAGCTTGAGATTTGCTTGGTGTTCTCAAGGAAAAAACATTTGAGCAGGTTTTGCCTGAGTGCAGCTGCTTCATCATGGTGACCACAGCTTGCTATAAAGATGTACTTTTATATCTTCACATAAATTTATGGTTGCTTTTGATGGGTGAGGAGTAGAAAGTATGAAGTAAAAAGATTATTCTTCTGTCATGTTTATTCAAGATAATTTTGTCATTAGGCACCCCCTATGTTGTGCTAAACAAGAGTTTTTAAACCTGGTGTTTTAACATCACACCTTGATAATGCAGGCTGTACATACTGGATTTTTTTTTTCCTGTTGTAACAGTGGAGGTTCGGAAAGGAAAAAGAGTATAAGTAAATGTATATGCGGCATATTTTCTTTTCCTTTCAGTTAATATCCGTGGGAAAGTACTATGAGAAATACAGTCAGGCTTTTAGAGAGGTGTTTTCAGCTGGTCTCTGTGTGTGACCCCGGTGTTAGCAGTGAGTCACATTGCCAGGCAAGAGTTCACTGTTCTCTCCTTCTTTCCCACTGCAATTAAATAAATTCCACATGCACACCCTAGTAAAATCAGGGGGAAAAAAACTTGCCAGTTGATAAAGAAATTGTGATAATACTGTAGAAGGATGAGTCAGTCAGTGGGATATTCACTGCCAAATACCAAATAACAATGCAGAAATTCAAGAGAGGTTTTAAGTCATGCAGGCAGTAAGGGAAAATGAGCCATCTGGGCTCACACAGAATGTAAGAAATGGGTGAAAGTGAGGGAGGAGAACCTGCCTATTTTAGCTCTGCATATAAAATCCCATTTTTATATCCTCGTTATTGCTATTCTAACATGTTGTAGAAAAGAATTAAAGTTTGAAGATCTTTAAAATCATTGGAGAATGTGGTATCCCTTTTTTTTAGCTCCTCTCACTCACCGTATGGATTTTACTGAGTTTTGGCATTGTAAGGGTTCAAGACTTGTTAACCTCCACATCATGCAGTTTTTTTTCAAGTTCTTAAGCTGTAGTTGCAGTGTTCAATCAGGTCAGATGCAGGAAACATCTGATCTGAACAGGCATTTTTTAAGTGGACCTCCCAAATTGTGATATTGTACTGCATTTGGTCTGTCTGTGAGTACTACCTAACGATAAGTGTAACAGCACTATATTGAGGCAGTGCCTGGGTAAAAAGCTGTTTGGCTCAGAAATTAGAACTGCAAGCAACATAAGTAAAGCTCTGGGCTCATACATTCACCATTTCACTCGTGTACTACTTTGCAGCTGAAATCTAAACCAGAAAAGGTACTGAAAATGTGCAGTACTAGACAGGATTTTACGTATCTAAATGCATGTTTATTTTTCTTCCAGCTTTTTAGAAAGAATCGACAGCGTCAGCATGGATGACTATACACCCACAGATCAGGTTAGTGTAATTAATGTGATAGGGGCTGAACCAAGACACCCATTTGTACAGATTCTTTATGTAATTTGGTTTAGTCCCAACAGCAGCTGAAATGCAGCAAACCACATAATTACAAAATGCAGTCTAGCTGTTTAAATAATGGATGTTAAAGAAGAAGAAGCTTTTCAATGTTGTAAGCTTGTGTTTTATTGTTGCTATATGTAGGTCGTGATTCCTGTAATACTTGTGTTATTTCTTCTTGCTTCACGTTCTGCATGAGCCTTGCAGTGTGCTCTTGCAGCTCGGAAAGCAAATGGTATCCTGGCTCCATCAGAAGAGGGGTGGCCAGCAGGGACAGGGAAGTGATTGTCCCCCTCTACTCTGCTCTTGTGAGGCCCCATCTGGAGTACTGCGTCCAGGTCTGGAGCCCCCAGTACAAGAAAGACAGAGCTGTTGGAGAAGGTCCAGAGGAGAGCCATGAAGATGATCAGGGGACTGGAGCACCTCCCCTGTTACTGCTCTGTGCCAGTGTCCCACTGCTATCCAGTAGTCTCAGTCAAGATTGTGACCCATGTGATAAACTGCAAATACGCATAGTAAAGGAGAACCCTACCCTGGATAAATCAGTCTGTCTACTGAGGATGTATAAGGAAAGGGAGCTCATTAAAAAAATTAGTAATGATCATCATTTCTCATTGTGTAGTCGGGCTGAAATTCAGAAAATAAAGTGGCTCGCCAGAGATCAGACAGGGAGGCATGTGGGGCAGAACTTCTACCTTCAGACCCAGTTCAGGTGTATAACCACAAGCCTGTCCAATTACAAAGACAAGTGTCTTGAATTAGAAGGCAATAAAAAGCAAAACTCATGTAGTCAACCTGATCCAGAATAATTTATTAAAGCCCTCCATACATTTTAAAACAAAAGCAGTTGTGTTGAAATTTACTCCATATAGACCTTGTGGTCTGACTTTAGCATCAATATTACTCTGCTGACAGGAGATGTCAGCAAAGCAAAGCCTTGTTTTTCTTTTTGTTATTTATTGTAGTGTTGCCCTGTTTGTTCTTGCAGGGTCTTTCTCTACCTTGAGCAGTCATTCATCATAGGAGGATTTGGCAGTGGCTTCATTATTCAGCTGTCTCAAAATTTTTCCTGATGTTTCCTTTGGGAAGAAATGTCCTTTGTCTGCAAAGATCAGAAGAGGCTTTTGGTATTTGGCAGGCAGAAAACTTCTGCTCCAGTAGCAGTGCTGGGTAGTCAGGGTTAAAAAACTGCTGGTGATGGTGATGGTACAGAGTGAGCCAGTTGCTTGAGATGTGCACCATAAATTGCTTTTACCTACCTCCTTTGAGAACCTAGGAAATCATTTTTTTAATTATTAGAAAACGTTATTTATTTATAAAGTACTACTAGCATGAAAAATAAGAAAGAAATGCCAGATTTACCTGCAACCTAAATTCTGTTCCCCTGTGCACTGTAATAGAGTTTTAATTACTTAGTCACAAGCTATTATTTCCATAGGATTCCTGTCTCATTCTGTACAAAAGAGGGCAGAATTAATGTTGCCTGGGCAACTGTAAATCTGGAGTTTTCTTGCAGTTGAGTACTTGACTTTACAATACAGACAATGTGTTTTCTTAGTTTTATGTAACTTCAGCATTCATTATCCACGTCACATATATGATTGTGGGACAATCAGTAAGAGATTTCAGTGTGCACTAAAGAGAACACGCATAAGGTATTCACAAGCCAGATTCAAATACGATATTTGTGTATCTGTTGTGTCAAAATGGACAGGTATACCAGCAAGTCTGATTGAACTCTAATTAAACAGAACATATCTTTCCAGGGAAAATACTATAGCATGCATTTTAAAGCAAAATCAGGATAGAAAAGAATGTCACTAATCAGCTTCCATGTTCTCATTTTCAGGACCTATTACGATGCAGAGTTTTGACATCAGGGATTTTTGAAACAAGGTTTCAAGTAGATAAAGTAAATTTCCAGTAAGTCTATTAGTAATGATTTATGAATGTTTTACTAATCTTAACAACTCAGATGTCTGTTTTCATGTCTTCCTGGCATAATTGGGCATAGGGTGAATGTCAGGGTTGTTTGGTTTAGGTGGGTTTTTGTAGCTGTTTCCCTAGATCCTAGTAAAATTCCCTTATGCTTCATTGAAAAAATAAAAGATGATACTAGTCATGTATTAGTGCTGCTCTGTTGTGGGGACATTTTTACTAACTCATTCATTTAGATAGCACTGCAAACTCATACTTTTGGGATAAGATCTGGCAGAACTTAGTGTCATTCCACAAGCCACAATTTGAATACTGGTACAGTTAAATGTCTTGCTCCTTCTTTCTTCTCCTTCTGGAGAGCTGCAAGTTCTGTGTTGTGCAGCATCTCTGTTAAAGTACTGTCAGGCTACCTCCACACTGGTTCTCATCCAAAAAGGTAGCAGTGCTGGTGGGGGACAAGTTGCCTTTGTGTTCTTCTCCTTGAACGCCTGTACTCTCTCTACCACACTTCAAAAGATGATGAAACCTCTGTTTGTTTATAATACAATAGCCCCAACCATCTATACCATGTGCATTTCTGTACACCACAAAGGCAGCAATTTTCTTATTGTATGGATTCGGCAGTACTCTTGCACCCGGGTGGTGGCAACCCCCACTGTCAGTACAAGCTGGGGGACAAAAGGGTACAGCACAGCCCCGCCAAAAAGGACTTGGGAGTAGTGGTGATGGTAGGTGGATATGAGCTAGCAGTGTGTCTTTGCAGCCCAGAAAGCCAACTGTATACTGGGCTGCATGGCCAGCAGGTCAGGGGAGGTGATCCTGCCCCTCTGTTCTGTGCTGGTGACGCTTCACCTAAAGTATTGTGTCCAGATGTGGAGTCCTCAGTACAGGAGAGACATGGACATGTTGGAGTGCATTGAGAGGAGGGCCACAGTAATGATCCCAGGTTTAGAGTACCTCTACTACAAGGATGGGCTGAGAGAGCTAGGGCTGTTCAGCCTGAAGAGGAGAAGGCTCTGGGCAGACTTTCAGTATCTAAAAGGGGGCTGTAAGAGAGAAGGGGACAGACTCTTTAGCAGAGTCTGTTGTGATAGGACAAGGGAAAGTGGTTTCAAGCTAAAAGAGATTTAGACTGGATATAAGGAAGAAGTTTTTTACAGTAAGGCTGGTAAGGCAGTGGAACAGGTTGCCCAGATAGGTGATGTATGCCATGTCTCTGGAGACATCCAAGGTCAGGCTCGATGGAGCTCTGAGCAACCTGATCTGCTGTAGGTGTCACTGTTCATTGCAGGGGAGTTGGACTAGGTGACCTTTAAAAGTCCCTTCCAACTCAAAGGATTCTATGATTCAGTGATTCTCCCTGGGGGAGCGGGGCAGGCGGAGTGGGGCACTGCTCTGGCATGCAGCACAGCAGCTGCAAACCTCTGTTCCCTTCAGGCAGTTATTTTACTGCTGCTGTCCTCAAAGCTGCCAGATTCATAAACTGAACCCTTGTGCTGCATGCATGCTTCGTGTGACTTTCCTAATGCACATGAGTGACGTAACATCCTATGGCTTTTTAACAGCATGTTTGATGTAGGTGGCCAAAGAGATGAGAGAAGAAAATGGATCCAATGCTTTAACGGTAAGTAAAAATGTTCCACATTTTAATTTCAAATTTGCTTTGTGCGGAGCGAGCAGCTTAGCATTTGTATTGTCTTACTTACACTGAGAACATAGTGTGTCTCTAATAGGAAAGTCCAACATGATAAATATTTTCTTGAGGCCTTTGGGGCAATAGGGGAGCAATGGCAGTATTACCATGAGGAGTATGTGCTAACAGAAACTTCCTTTCTCTCTCCCTTCTTTCTTCTGTGTGCTTTGTCCAGATGTCACGGCTATAATCTTTGTTGTGGCTTGCAGCAGCTACAACATGGTAATAAGGGAAGACAATAACACAAACAGACTACGGGAATCCCTGGACCTTTTCAAAAGTATCTGGAATAATAGGTAAAATACACCTCTTTTTTTCCTCCCACTGCAATTCAGCTACAATCCAACTCCCTACAGATTTAGATTCCTTTTAGCACATGGTCAGATTGATTGTTCAGAAAATGCCCAAGGCAGGGCCAGGCCATGAGGTGCAATGGCCAGAGTGATGCATGGATACTTAGCCAAATAGCAATATAAATCTATTCCTAGTGGTGAATGAGTAATGACAACACACAGGATTAGGTAATTAAAAGTTTCTAGCATACAGCTCTTAGGATGGTCTACACTGAGAGGTGACTGACGGTAAAGTGAGGAAAAACACTAAGCCAGGTCCCAAAGGTACGTTGTCACAGCGATGGTTAGGCACTAACTGGCTAAGAAGAGAGATCATTTACTTTTGATCATCACATACAAGTCATCTTAACAGACAGCGCCTTTGTGTGGATGAACTGTTAGTTAAGACAGTGCAGTTTTCCAGCCTTTGTCTCTTGGTTCAGCAAAACCCAGTGAAGTAGACAGAAATGTCAAATTTCAGGAACTGCCATCATTTTCCAAACTTAATTTCAGAACTTGAGTTTAGAAAACAGTGATTCAAGACTGTTCATGTCAGTGATATCTACAGGAGATTTTAGAAATGTATGCACAGATCTTATAAATACATCTATCAGCCCAGGTAATAATTAACATAATAATTCCAGTTCCATTATTTTTCTGTTAACCAAGTTCTAAATATTGCATATAGGGACAACCAGTAAATTTTCCATCGGTGTGATGTGTTTCCTTTGATAAATGTGTCAGAAATAATTCAAACACATGGTTTGTTTCTGACAGGTGGTTACGGACCATTTCTATCATTTTATTCTTGAATAAGCAGGACATGCTGGCTGAAAAAGTCTTGGCAGGGAAATCAAAAATTGAAGATTACTTTCCTGAATACGCGCATTACACCGTACCTGAGGATGGTAAGATTTTTCACCACTTGAGGGGTTTGGCTAGCTGGGATAGCCCGTTCCATTGCTTTGTCTCATACACACAGACATGCACATTCACAAACACACACATGTTGTTGTTCAGTGTGTGTGAGGTCAGGCAGCTGCTCCATCCTGTACTGCCCGTGCTGCTGTGTGTGGATCGGTGGATGCCGAGGACATGGCACATGGCCCAGTGCTGCCTCAGGCTCAGGAGCCTCTGGGTGCTGGGGGGTCTGGCAGAGACATGGCTTACGTCCTCCTTTGCCCATCAACAGCAGCTTAGGTTATAGAAGTAAAGGTAATAATGAGGTGTGTGCACCTTCCATTCAGGCTGAAACATTGAGAGTCTAATAATGAGTTTCAAATGCAAAGGATAAATAAACTTTCCCAAAATCTGAGTTAGGTGGGCACTAGTTCTATAACCATAGGGGTTTCAGAAATCTACAGTCACTGTCACACGAATCTCTCTGTACCAAGAGTGGACCCCACTAAAACTGAGAGTTTGGGTAAATTATTAAAATAAACATTTCCCATAGTAAAGCAAGTTGCCAGAATAAGGTAGCTTTTCATTTTTATCAGCAGGATTTCACAGTGGATATCCTGAGTGATTCAGAATATCCACACACAAACCAGCTCTCTGTCTTTAACCCACGGTTGCTCATTTATTCCCTAACTTTAGACAATGTTATTTAAGGACAAAAGCACTGAACTGTAAGCCACTGGTTATGCAGCTGCTCTCTGTTTACCCCTGCTGCTCCAGATAAGAGTAGAAAATATTTCCATATTCAGATAAATTCTGTCCTTTATCACATTACACTTAAAAGCATTTAATGTGGTATCTTAGTCAAGGAGAAACCACACCAAAGGGAAGTGAATAGATTATCTCTTCCCTGCACTGTTTAATTTTCACACTTGGGGTAAATACAGAGGTAGATAGAGATGACTTAACCTCCTGACAGACAGCACCAAGTAATGAGTCTCGTGTACAGCAAGATTTTAATCTCGGACCCTTTGTATGTTTAAGTGGCAGTACATCTAAGTAATCTTCCCACGTGGGGCCTGGAAGAAAAATACATTTTTATAAAGCATCTGTAATGCTGTGGCATTTCTTCAAGTGTAACCTTGCACTGAATCTTGCACTGTTTTTTTAAACCCAAATTCCTGCTTTTAGAATCTCTGCTCCAGAGGTGCTCTCGTGTTGCACAAGCCAGAGAGCTGTTCTTGTAATCATATTTTCTGATAAAGATAAATCCCAACTGCCACTTCTTTTATTACCTATGTGAACAAATTTATGGATGTGAGTAAACCTCTTCACGTGTGAGAAATGACACTTGCAAAAACATCAGTAATGTTCAGGTCCCTGAGAGATACCAAATGCTTACAAGTTTGTTTCAGATTTTACAGTACCTTTCCATTTTAGAGTTGTGTATCCAGAGTCTCATGTGGATATTCAGTATTTTAATTTCTGTATCAAGGGACTACTTCCTCCAGAAGATTTAGTATCTTCTGTTGTGAAAAAGAGAATATTGATTGCCTTTCCTGTTTCTCATATAACTTATTTTTAATTGAACAGCAACTCCAGATGCAGGAGAAGACCCCAAAGTCACAAGAGCCAAGTTCTTCATCCGGGATGAGTTCTTAGTGAGTAATTTTGATCTTATGTATGATCCTATCATAGGAAATACAGGCAGATGGCATCGTTTATTTAGGGAAAACTGACGAGGTTTTGCAGAAAGCTCGAAGGAGAGGGGAGTGTCTGGCAATTCCCTAATTCTTTTCAGCTGCCTGTCTTACAGAACTTTCTCCAGTGCTTGCACATTTTTCTGCCCGTTTATTGTGAAGTCACCTGCCTCCTATCTATCTCTTGGATACAAGCAATTATCAGACACGCAATCACAGCTTCCTCCCAGAACCAGGGGGCTTCATCCAAAATAACTCATGTCTTCAGTCATACCAAGTCAATCTAGCCAAGCAGGATTGGAGACCAGAACTAAGGCTTAGAACTTTGAATATTGCCCTACTTATAGAAACTGTGTGGGGGTGTTCGAGAGAACAAGTTTAAACATTAGAATGAAGATGTTTAAAGTCATTATGCGTTTACAAATATTGTTAGGATTTATAGCTGTTGAATCAACAGCAAAGAAAGAAGCAATTAATTATGTTCACACTTTGGGGATTTCCATTCACTGCCTTAACCTTCCTAATTATGAGGAAAATAATCAGATTGCACTGTGTTGAATAAGAGTTACCAAAAAAAGAACACTGTGAGCCAAATCTCTCTGCAGTAGTGCCAAAGTGCTGTGAAGCAGATGACACTGAGGGTGTCCAGTTTGGAAGGGGGGTCCAAGAGAACCAGATTACAGGAAAACTGGGGCAAGACTCCTCACCTTTTTGTGTAAATAAATACACCAAGGGCGAGATTCTCACCTTTGATGACTCACGTGCGTTGTACTAAGGACACCACCTGCAAACCAAGCAGAGAGGCAATGGGCTTTGCAACCACATGAAAAGCCAGCTACGCATCTGCAGAGGCTCTTAGTAGACACAGGTGCTATGGGTGCAGGATAAGAGTTTGGGCTGGGCCCAGCACCTGCCAGCAGCAGACAGCTTGCCCTGTAGGTCTGGCAGAGAGTGTCTCCTACATGAGGAATTCTCAGGTGCCTCTCTCCTGGCTTTGTGCTTTGTATTTTTCAACATGATGTGGCCATTTAACAGTTGCTTTAAACCTTGCACCGGTTTGAGAGGAAGTCTTGTAAGTGAGGCATTTCTGGTCAGATGTGTGGTCTGAAGAGCCTGTGTGCATCCTTCTTAATGTTGGCAGCCAGGGTCAGAAGTCAGTGGCCCTGTGACCAGACGGGATAGAGAGAAACAATCCAGTGGGGAGGGGAGCTGGAAGGAAGAGGTGTTCATTTTCAGCCTGCAGCCTTCTTGACTCTGCTTGTGTACGTTTCTGTCTAAGTCTTTTCACTTATGACCTTGTCCTGCCCTGCCATGTTTTCAGCCATGACTCAAACGAGTCTGATTTTACTCTTTTATTATCATTCTTACTGTGGGAGCAGGTGTGCGTAAGTCAGGGATTTATGTGAAAATCATAACTGCTTCAAGACCCTATAGCTCCCCTTCAGCTCACCAGGCTGTAGATACACATGCTTTTGTGTTCCAGGTAAATTTAAAACAAATAATTTGAATACAGGAGGATAAATATAAAATCCTCTCCGACAAATTCAGCTGCAAGGTAATGTGTGAGCATGAGGAAGGCAAAATACATTGGCCACTGATATTGGAATCAGTGTAGCTGCCCGTGGCATCCACTGCATTCAGCTGTGCAGTGCTGATGGAACTGGAGCCATTAATTTTTAACCATGGAAAATACTGGGTGCGGCCTGGCAGGGAGCTCACTGCTGCTGCTGGGCTTCCCATCAGCTCTGCTGTCAGCAGCAACGTTTTCTCTTTGGCATCCCCCATTGCAGGAAACGTGCTTTATAGGAAATTCCCCTTCCTTCTGACATGGGCAGAGGGCACAGGAGCATCCTTTCTCCTCCCATGCTCTTCATTTCTCATTGTTCAGCATCCTCCCTATCCCACTTTTGGTGTTCTTTACACAGCATTCTCCATCTGCTGATATTTTAATACACTGCCAGTATGAAGGCAATCCCTGTTAAATCAGACGCATGGCCGCTCCGATTCATTCTGGTTTTTAAAAAGCTGTTTCAGGAGCTGCTGTTCAAAGGCAGTGTCTGAATGCTTGTGTCCTTGCTGGGAACTGTCATCCCCTCCCCTACATATCAAAAAACCTTAAATGAGAGACCTGCCAGGGCCCAAAGACTACAGTCTTAGAAATTGATCCTTTGACCAAGTATCACCAGAGCAGTGATGCATAGGAGTGGCTGCGCAAGATAAGCACAGGCAAGCACTTAATGAAAGAACAATTATTGTAGTGAAGCACAAGGAAAAGACTGAACATTATTAAATTGGTAGGGCTTGGCTCTGAAGACAGTCTTGCTTCCTTCCAGCAAACAGCTGCTGTAAGCACACTGTGCAGAGATGCTGTTGTGCTCATTGCAGTGTGCTGAGATCATGCTGCTTGAAGGGAACTGCCTGAAGGAGGAGGAAAGCACTGCAGCAGTTAGAGGCTGCAGAAGTAGGTGGAGCTCAGTGCAAAGGGGTCGAGCATCCCTGCAAGCAGTCAGAGCAGACCTCTAGGGTGCCTGAGTTGGGAATGATGGTGAATGGAGTTAAATCCAGCTGACCACGAATCACTAGTGGTGTTCCATAATGGCCAGCTAGTATTGGGGCTTGTCGTGTTTAATATCTTCAGTGATGATCTGGATGAGGGGATTGAGTGTACTCTCAGTCCTGCACTTTGGTCACAACAATGAAAGGCTACAGGCCTGGAGATGGAAAGCTGCACGGAGGAAAAGGATCTGGGGGTGTTAGTTGACAGCCAGCTGAATGCGAGCCAGCAGTGTGCACAGGTGGCCAAGAAGGCCAATGGCATCCTGAGTTGTATCAGAAATAGTGCAGCCAGCAGGAGCAGGGAAGTGGTTCTCTCTCTCTGCTCTGCAGTGGTGAGGCTGCACCTCAAGTGTCTTGTTCAGTTTTGGGCCCCTCACTACAAGAAAGACAGAGGCCTTGGAGCATGTCCAGAGAAGGGCAATGGAGTTGTGAGGGGTCTGGAACAGATGAGGGAACTGGGATTGTTCAGTGGAGGAGTGGAGGCTCAGTGGAGACCTTATCGCTCTTTACAACCTGAAGGGAGGTTGTGGCAAGATGGAGGTGCGCCTCTTCTCCCATCTAACAGTGATGGGATGAGAGGTAATGGCCTCAAGTTGCACCAGGAGAGGGTCAGGGTGGATGTTAGGGAAAATCTTGTCCAAAAGAGTGGCGCAGCATTGGAAGCAGCTGCCCAAGGAGGAGGTGGAGTCACCATCCCTGGAGGTGATTCATGATGAGGCGCTGAGGGACATTGTTAGAGTGCGTGGTGGTGGTAGGCTGATGGTTGGACGGGAAGATCTTAGAAATCTTCTCCAAACAAAATGTTTCTATGATTCTAAAAACAGCAGTAATTAGAAGCAGTGATCTAAAAAAAACCAGGCTGGACCATCATCTTAGGGCCAACTTTTCTTCTTTTTCCTCCAAGGAAAAAGATTTAGTAACTGGACTCTCTTTACTGCATTTGAGTGACATGTTGCCATCATGTAGATCTGCAAGGGGAAAAAAAAAAAAAATAAAGAGAGAAGCAGATGATGCATTAAAAACAGAAGCACTACTGCACTTCTTAGTGTTTCTATAGTAGCACCACAGTTGATTTCCAGGCATGACGTTGTCTGTTCAGCACTAAGGCTCTGGTTACCCCCAGAGTTACAAGATGGTGATCTCCCCAAACATTTCTAGCAGGTTTGGAAGCCTGTATCCTGCACGTGGAAAAACAGAATTAGCAGTTTAATTGAGTTTCAGAATTTTGCCACTATTTAAGTAATTTGTAAAACTTTTCCTTTTCTTTATTGTTTAGTGTAATTCATGCTTCAGGTATGGTCTGAACAACTGACCCGTCAACTGAACAGGGTGTTAAATCTGTATTTCTCATTAAGGTAATTCCTGAGCTAGGTATTAAATGTAGCATAGTAAAATGGAATTCTTGTTTAGTATATATTTAGAAGCCCTGTGTTTAATCAGCGTAGAGTGTCTCTGTTTTCCTGCAAATCTCTGCAACTTCTTATTGATCTAATTATATAAATCATTGCTTTTAAATGTCAGTCATTTGCATATCTAGCTGTGCATATTGAAAAGGCCTTTCCCATGGGTAAAACAAATCTCTGTGTTACAGTCCAGAGAGAAAAAGCATTGCCCAGATAGAAAAAAAGCATTGCCTTTTGTTGCTTAACCGCTGGAACTTGTAACAACATTCAGGGAGGATTTACCAAAGGATTATGCCAAGAATTGACCTTCTTTCATGCATAGTCTTCAAGATATATGATCCAGGATGGGCTTACATCAGTCAGTCCCACAGTGGCAGGGAACAAAGTTACAATTTTTAACATACTGTAAGACGCTGAGGCTTTTTAACAAGATAACCAGAGATCTGGTTGATGCTAAAGCTTCAGTTAGCAGCCTGAAGGGTTGTGCAGCAGTGAACGTGTAACTCCAAGTGGTGTGATGTGTGCTGGCTCTGTGTGCCTGCTGCTGTTCCACAGGGACTCAGCCTCTGTCCTGGGAATTCCAGTGTGCTTCGGGCTCAGAAGTGACGCCAAGTCTCCAGGAGTTCAAAAACATATCACATAATGGCACTACAAAAAAAAAAGGAGAGAATAATTGCTAGGGTAGACCTTGGCAGGACGCAGCACTGCCCACAGCACAAGTTTGCTGTATGGTGATGAACAGAGTGCCAGTACATCCATCCCATATCATCCATCACTCTTTTTTCCCTCCATTTCAAAACTGTGATTCGTTTTGGAACACCCCGAAGTCCTTCCTTTTTTTATTTCAGCTGTTAGGTATATGACGCACCATTTCCCAGGTTTTGGGTCTCTAGTAAGGCCACAGGTCACTGGGAGGGGAAACTGGTAGGGAGCAGCCCCCAGCAGGACCCCTAACCCTTCTCCCTGCCTGTTTCCACAGAGGATAAGCACGGCGAGCGGAGACGGCCGGCACTACTGCTACCCGCACTTCACGTGCGCTGTGGACACAGAGAACATCCGCAGAGTGTTCAACGACTGCAGGGACATCATCCAGAGGATGCACCTCCGCCAGTACGAACTCTTGTGAGGGGATCGCCGTGGAACCTGTGGTTTTAAATTCTTTGCTCCTTACTCTTTCTCTTGATACTACCCCACACAGGGTGGAAGAATATACTATAGAAATGTCAGTCTCTTCACTTGGTTTACTTTAATTATTTAACCGTAAAGCTGATTTGAAGCAAGTTTGGGTTGGTTTTCCTTCATGCTTTTTGGGACTATTTTTGTGCTTTATTTTGACATGCCACTTCTTCGTCATTCCACTAAGCCCTTTGGCTACCTCTGTTCCCTCGGGTTTTGTTGTTGAAAGCGAGCACGACCCGCGGCGCGTTGCGGCGGGTCGGTGCCAGTTTGGAGCGGGATGTTGGCTGGACGACGCTAAGTCACGGCGCTCCCTCCGTGTGGGTTTCCTTTTTAACGTGACATTGAAGAGTACTTGATGGGTGAAAAAGATTAATGCACTTTGTATCAGGTTATTAAATACTGTCGAGGAAGTAGACACACAATGTAGCAGCACCACAATATTTATTACTCCGTCACAGTTTTTAGCATTTCTGAGTTGCAGGTCAACTGATACGGTGACCTCCTCTTTTAAGCCGTTACTGGCGCAGGAAGTAGAGTAGATACTGAGAGGAATAGTGAAGACAAAGCAATTTCTCTGGGGTTCCGGAGCTCAGCGTCTCTGCGCACCTCAGGTGTTTGAATCACAGCTCCTTTTCAGCCTGTCGCATCTAGGCAGAAAATTGACCGCCCTCACTTACGTTGTTTGTGCTGTCCACAAATGATCCTTTTTGTTCCGATCATTCTTGGACGACGGTCCTCTCCCTATATATATTTTTTTGTTTTACTGCTGGTTTATTATATTGTACAGACTGTAAAATGTAATATTATTTTGTACAACTTTATTGAAGAAAAATACTTGTAGAAGATCTTTGTGCCTTGATTATGGCTGTACCTGTAAAATGAGCTAAGATGTAAGTATGTTTTTGATTGCGCTGTACAGCTTGATGTCAACCTTACCTGCAGCAGTGACTGGAGGTAAGAACTTTATCTGTAGAGTTTAGGGGTTTTTTTCTGGTTTATATAAAAATGCTCTTTAGTATAAAAATTATAAATTATGCAAATTAACCACTTACCTTTCCCAGTGAGGTATTACCGTCACCGGATGTTGCAGCAAACATGCCTTTCTCTTTCAAAGTCTCAGCTTTAAAACATTGGAATTCATTCGAGTGTCCAAATTGCAACCTGGTGTTGTTTTAATGGGAACCGAGGATTTATTATTATTATTATTATTCTTTTTTTCCTTTCTGTTTAGAAAATATGTTCGGTAATTCTTCGGTCATTCATAGAACTTCACAATGGCACAGACCGATTGTGAACGTGCAAAGCAGCATTCTGTAGAGCTCTTCGATCTCTGTACCAACAGCGGCTTTCATTGTGCAAGTAAATAGCGAGAAAGAAGACAAAAGTTGTATCGACCCTCGTGTCTGGCCTAAGAGAATTACAAGATGACATTTTTATTTCTCTTTTAATAAAGAGACACGTTAGAAAATTGTTTTATTTTAAATATTGTAGAATCAAAATGTGTGAATATTTCTCAAACTTGAATAATTTATGCAAATGACATTCTCAAAAACAAGTTGTGGTACAGTACAATATATAAAAGCAAGAATTGCTGTAGCAATAAGGCATGTCCTTTTTAGTAACTATAACACTGCTTTATATTTTATACATAGGTGTTTTCTGTCTGTGACTATATACTTTTCCTGTGTCCAAGATAACCTGTACAAATGTCTAAAATTACAGTTGCAATAACAGAAACCTAGCGAAGTGTTAGACTACATTACTTCACAGAGTGTTTTACCACACTTGGACCGTTCCCACTCCTCGTTTTAAAGTTAGGGAGAGATTAAGAGCTGACATGTTCCCGACGTTGGCCTCCAACTCGGCGCTTCGATCAGTGTTTTGCTGTAAGCACCGCTGGTGGTTACAAACCCCTGCCACCACCTCTCAAATTCAAGTCAGACTGCGGCCCACCGCAGTCCTTGTTTCTATTTGATGACAAACAACCCCATTGTAGACACGACAATATGACCATTTCTTCTTCTCAGAAACGTGTAGATTTTAATACGTGCAAGTTGAGTCATCAGATATTGCCCAGAAAGCGAAGGGCTGAGTGGACTGAGCTAGTCAACAAACCCCCTGAATGCAGAGATTCTCTCGCTTCCCACGCCAATGAAAGTACCGGGACAAGTAACAGCAGACGGTCTCGGCCTCAGAAGCAGCCCCTGCCCCAAGAGCTACCAGCAGGAGCTTTGCTGGGGTGGGTGGCGAGACACGGTGAGGTTTGTGGCACCCTCCCTTAGGCACAGTGCGCAGAGGTGCTGAGCTCTGCTCCAGCGCTGCCACCCGGCCGGGGGCTCCTTGCAGCTGCCGCCTCCCCAGCACAGAGCCGCTGCACTTCGCAGTGGGACACTACAGAAACGCTAAGAGCAGGCAGCCCTGCGGGAGCCTGCAACAGGAGGCGCCTGCCTGCAGCTGGAGGCTGAGGCACAGGACAACGTTACTGCAGCTGTAGTTGACCTTCCTTCTTGCAGAGCGGCAGCCGGAGGGCCCCTCACCGCACAGATCTCTGGGATGCAATAGGGCCCTCTTTTTTAAGCCCATCATAGCACATCTTTTTAAAAATAGCAGCTTGAGGTGTCAACCTACTTTTGTTTTAAGCAGGTTTCAGGTGTTGTACCAGCAAACTGGATCTGCGAGGCTTCTTCGTGTTGCTGTCTGGTAGATGCTAAACGGTAGCCATCCAATAGTTCGGTGTGACAGGAACTGCAAGGTTTCTTGTCCCTCGCGTAGGACATTCTAAAAAGGTTATGGAAATCTGCATCTCTCAGTGCCGATGTCTCTTGCTTCTGCCTGACCCTACCAAATAGACGTGTGACAGTAGAAGGGCCACGCAGCAATAAAAGAGAGAAACGTTTCCAGTTTGCAGCACTGAGCCTCCACCAGGGTGTGACACTAGTGCAGACAAGTGATGAGGCAACAGGATTTACATAATGTACAGTTACACTTTTAATATACATATTTGATACAAAAATTATAGCAGGAAAAGGACTCATTTGATTGTAGAATACAGTATTTTTGTACAGCATGGAACGTTCATTTCAGTTAATTATTTATCCTGTAGTAGTCATATCAGCTGTATAGGACTTCTATGGTATGTGTAAATGCAACCTGCCTTCAGACTAGCAATCAAATTTAGGTCATTTGCTGGCATGAATATAGTCTGATGTTTGACTGTTCTCAGCTTTGGTATTTCAGTGACTGAATGCAGATGTCTGGCTCTTCATGCTGCTTTATGCTTACTGATTAAACGCTGAGCAAAATAAAATGGTGGAGTGAGAAGCTGAAAATGAGCTAGCACCAGGACGACGAGCAGGGCTCCTGCTGCCCAGTATATAGCGAAGACTCTGCTCTCATGTGGAAGGAAGCATTTGTGGAGGGAGAAGTCAGTTGGTGTTATGCTGCCCTGGAAAAGAAAGACAGTGTCACTGCGCTCTTACAGTGGGTCCCACAGCAGGAGTTGCACCAGAGCGGGCAGACCTGCAGCTCCCAAGTTCTGTGTTGGGTGCAGAGGGTTAGGGCCAGCTCCCAGTACCAGTGCCTTCTCCAGGGGGCTGAAGAGTCTGTAGTGGCAGTGCTGGGCGCTAACTGGAGCAGCCAGCAGCCATCTTCAGCCCAGGCACCAAGCTGCCTGCTTCTCAGCTAGAGAAACCAGGGAGCTGGGCTCCTCCTCAGCTCAGCCTTCAGAAGCCAAACTCCAGCTGCAGGGAAGCAACCTGGAGGCAGCCTTCCTGGGCTCGAGTTAGACTTTGTGAATGTGCCCCTTCCTCACCCCAGGCCCTCCTTCTACCCACTACACACTGCAAAACACACGTTGGCTAATCCAAATTGCCTACACAACTTAAACAACTGAGAACTTTGTTGGGTTTTGGCTTGAAATCTAATTCAAGTTTACAGCAGCCTGAGGCTGAGCTAAAACCATAGCAAGGAGGATGCTGCTTGAACTGGCCAACCTCTTGTTTTGTCTGGCATGTACAGAGAGCATACACAGTTTGAAGGCAGCTGCTCTCAGGAATACGGAATAAACACAACTAATTTTCAACAAGAAAGATTAACAATAAAATGAGTTGCAAGGTTGGGGTTATCTGTGTATTAAGGAGCCTAAACTCAACAGTGAAAAATACCTTAAAGATTTGCCCCCTTAGTCACAGAATACTCCATAAACAGAGTGCAGGTTTTGGTGCTTACTCCACATTTCTCAGAGTTCTGTTTTCTTTCTCTCCTGGGGAATGTGTTGATTTACCTCTGATGATATACTGAGCACTGGAACTGCCTGCGCAAGCAGAACCAACACTGCATGAATGCAGACTGGACATGAAGAGGCGGCCCACGGGCACGCAGGCAACGCCTTCCCTGTGTGAAAGTGATCCGTGCCTGAGGCTGAAGGCCACCACCACCACGTGAAAGTTCAGGGTGGCAATGGTCTTTGTTTAGAGTGGGTAAATCAGCTGAGTAACGTGAGCCTTTCTACTGTTTGGTGCACAATACTGATTCTTTTTTACAAGTCAACAGTTTACAACGCGCCCTCTTCATAAGCAAATGTCAGATGCTTGTACCCAGATAATGATTAGGTCTTTAACAGCATTGCTTTGTACCACAGAGAACGTGGCTCCCACAGATGTGCTTTATAAAGTGGACGCAGTGTACAGAGTGGGTCGGGTGGGTAGGCAATTTTTTTTATTTTTTGTTTTTACAGGTAGAATCAGTTTTAAAATATAGCTGACTGCCATGTTGATTTATTTATGAGAGTTCTCTGACGAAAATAAAAAAAAGATAATAATTAAAACCTTACCATGATGAAACTAGGGTTGTTTCTATTCCTCCAACTGAACGACGGGACGCTGATCTCCGGGATCCCCCCCGCATGCAGCACTTGGCAGGCGCTGTGCGTGTGCCCGCTGAGAATCAGGCGGGGATGGAACCACCACAGCAGCTGCAGTGCGCAATGGAAAAGCACAGCAGTAAGCCGTAACTAAAAGGGAACCGCACGCACGGCCCGTTTCTTCTTCTGACAGAATGAAAATGTGGGAATTCTGACAATCTGAAGGAGTGTTTTGGATCAACTTCTGTTTTCCATTAGGTTTATGGTGGCAGTGCGATATCATAGTCATAGAATCACAGGGGTTGGAACAGGCCCCTTTTTATGGAGTCCAAGCCCCTGCTAAAGCAGGTTCCCTACAGTAGGCTGCGCAGGAAAGCATCCTTGCAGGTCTTGAATATCTCCAGAGAAGACCCAAATACTGCTTTTTGTATCCACACAGATCAGAAAAACGAAGCTAACAGCATGCTCCCAGCATTGCAGATAGAAATACCATTTTAACAAAACGACTGGGTATTCTCATCCATGGGAGAACCCTGTACTGCCCATCTTGAGTGAAGATGTTTATGCAGCAGGAGATAAACACCAACACAGCTTTGGGGCATACAGCAAGTTTACATGTTCTTGCCGTTACTCCTGCAGCTGAAGCAGTACTGTCAAACAGGGGCTTTCTGCTAGGTTTGCCATTAATAGCCATATTATATAAACTACAGAATGCTACCCTAGGATAACAGTGGCACAGCACGCTTAAGAGCACCTGCACTTACCACATGCAGAATCGAGGCCCAGATCACTCTGACCCTCAAGAGATGATCCACAGCTCTACTCAGCAGCCTCTCAGAGGCCACAGTAAGCAGGAGCCACAAAGGGCAGTTCATTTCAGCAAACGTTTGCCCTTTCCAGAATGCCCAAGCCAGTAGGTTGCCAGGGACCCAGGCCACTCTCCAACCCACCCACCCACCAACCGATACTCAAGCTGCCGATAGAGAAAACCTTTTGTGATGCTTCCTGAGACAGCACATCGTACTTCTCTTTAAATGGGATGGTCTTCTCCTCTGGAGAGGCAGCATCTTCTCCACTGCATTCTGCATCACTTTTCCGATAGAGAGGGTAATGCTGAGTGAAATGCAAAGCAAGGACGAGTTGTCAATGACACGGCCTTTCTAGAAAGGTCATAAATACCCGAAGCACACTGACACGCTGCCTCACCCATCCCCAGTTCACCTGCAGAAGGATTGGTTGTGAAGCTGGAGGCTTTTCTGCATCACTGCACCTCTTCTCGGGATGGTTCAGTTCCTATGAATAAAATCAATCCATACATACTGTCCTCACCTCTGTGTACCAAAGGGGTGGGGAAGGGATTTACACAACAGCTACAGGTTGAGGTATTGGATTTTTCAGTTGTTTTGTTTCCTTCCTTGAGAAAAGCAGTACCTGCTCAGAGTACGGTGTTTTAATACTGCACCAACTTCTAGGAGACTGCTGCAGGTATACAGGGAAAGCTCTGCTTTCCCGTTCACAACATGGTGTGAATTGAGCTACACTCTTCCTGAAGATATTCAAGATATTCAAGATATTCAAATGCTTTCCTGTGGAAAGCAACCACAGGCTCCCACTGACAGGGAGGGCACAAGAGACTGAAGGCAGCCTGAGATGCAGCATTTAGGGTTAGGCAGTTTTTCCACTGGGAGATGGTTTCAGACTATCAATGCAGCATATGATGCCGCCCACCTGGCATTGTCTCCTATGAGAGGGTGAAAAGGGATGAAGCAAGCAACTGGATTTGATGAAATAATACCACTGAAACATTACCAGACTAACCAGGCAGGATCAGAGCAGAATCAGAGAAGTACAATAGGATATACAGAGCAGAACAGTGAGCAAAAATCAAAATGCATGGCTTATTTGATCAGAAGAAAGCAGTTTCTGTTAGCTGACAGCAATAACGAGGAAGTGAGCACCATTAACAGGCTAAGATGATAAATGAGGAGAGCTCTGCTAACACGTTACAGCAGGAATGGGAGTAGGTTTATTTCAGACAACAGCCTTCACTGCACCTTTACTGCTGCTACAGCATCGACATTTCCAGCGCAGCAGGCAGGCTGCTGGCTATCACCATGTCTTCAGCAGATCTTACCTGCTGGGAGCAGTTCAGTCTGTGAGAAAGCGCCACCAGCTTCGCCTCTGCAGTGCGGCACAGGGTGCAGCCATCGCCCTCCATGGCCACGCTGTTCACGAGGACAAAGCTGGAAAACACCACGCCGTGGGCTGAGAGGGAGTGGTGGTAAGGACAGGAAGGTGTTTGCTGCTCATGCACATGAGAATAAGCCTTATTTGATCAAATGCAAGGGTTCCAAAATGGGACACAGCTGAGCAAAACTGCAGAACATTGCAGCTTCTGATGTCACATGTTGCAAATCCTTTTCAAGTATCCATCCTGTAGCTACTGGCCTGTCTTGTAGGCTGCTTCCTAATCGGTCGTTAATTAGGTTGCATCATATACTGGCTGCTGTATTCTATGTTTACTCCATCTTAATTACTGTAATAGATATCGAAGCAGTATTTGAGTGAAATGTTACAAGTCAGCTAAACTGAGTTTTGAGAGAAAGGAGAACTTTGCTTCTCTCTCTGCACTCATTTCAGGCAACAGAAACATGTTTTTGATGTTCCATTCCTTCAGAATGACTGAAAAGCCTCACAGCACTGCATCTGGCTGCCTGCCTCCAGCACACAGGTTCGTACCACGCAGCCTCGCAGAATGCAGCACTCGGTTAGTAGGAGAGCAGACATACAGCCTGTCTGCCACTGAAAGCCGGAATCCTGCTGTGCTGTTGTATGAAAGGAGATGCAGAGACATTCCTGAACTGATTTGGAGTACGTATCTGTAGGACCCTACATCTATATAACAAACAGCATTATACTGAGCATTCGTGAAGCTCATAGATCTTCCTGGGGAAAAAAAAGACCACTGCTAGACCTGTTATTGGTATATTCTAAACGTCTGCTTAATTAATTAAGCAGGGCAACCTCCTTCTTTCTGGATCTTATACTCCCATAAGTGATGATAACCTCCTAACATGCTGCCAAATGCAGAGCAGCAGTGGCTCTTCCCTTCCTGTAGCACTTTAGGTTTAAAGAGAAATGCTTTGTCACACTCCCACTACTGCTCTCTCTCACCAGACTCTTGCATGGTACATAACAGCAACCGAAGAGCACACACCCAATAACAGCTCTGGCACCAAGCTCTGTGCTCAGGGCCTCAATCTAAACAGAATCTGCATGACCCCACTGTGTGGGGAACCTGTGGCCAAACACTTGCTGTGTTCCCAAATTCCTCAGACAAGGACCAAAGAAGTTATTAAAATTAATGAAACTTTCAGCTTGCAAGCACGGGAGTTGGTTGTTTCTTTCCCAACTCCTATTCTGCTCTGTTTACAGCCATGGGTCATTACCAGCTGCGAGGAAGTACAAATACAAACCTAAGAATGTCATTCCGACTCCTCAGTACTTTTCCACTTGAAAGAAAATTGACCAAGCTTAGAGCAAAAGCTTCCCTCCAGATCTAAGTATGTGTGTCACCCCGAACATAACACAAGCTAGGTATGAAGTAAAAGTAACAGTAATCAGATTTAAGCGAAGCATTCCCCTACCTAGCAATTCAATTCCAGTTGTCATTCTCTTATTCCACTAACAGCTGGGCAGAACATTTATATATGTACATATATATATATACACACACTCACTTTGTTCCTTTTCGAGTTATTAGCTTTCCTGAAGTAAAGTTGAAAACTTTTTCAAATCGATGTACCTTGTAAGAGGTCATTCTGCAACACAGAATAAAAATACAACTGAGGTAAGAGACTGGCATTGTAGATAAATAATGGTATATAATAATAAATAATAATATAATCAATGCTTAAATAATCTGACAGAGCTGCTTTGCAATTTTTTAAGCCATTCCCACAGCTTGCTGCTGCGTTACTTAGAGCACGTATTCATCCAGCAAGCACAGGGACACCCGGACACTGACAGCACTGTGTCCTGTCCCAGTCACAGACGTCCCAGGGGAGCACAGGGCAAAAGAAGATGGGAAAGGGAATATGCTTAGGCCGAGCACTTTGCAGACCATGAAGCCCAACACAAGGAAAAGAAACTTCAAGACTTCTCTGCCAACGCAGAAAAGTGAGCCCTGAACAACGTCGCATACGCTCTAAGAAGCACAAAAGTAGCCTGAAAGGAGCTGGGGGTCCTGGTGGCCAGCAGGTTGGCCATGGGCCAGCAGTGTGTCCTTGTGGCCAAGGAGGCCAACGGGATCCTGGCGCATATTAAAGAGTGTGGCCAGCAGGTCAAGGGAGCTGATAAAGCCCCTCTGCTCTGCCCCAGCGAAGCCACATCTGGAGACCTGTGTCCAGGTCTGGGCTCCCCAGTTCAAGAAAGACACAACTTCTAGACAGAGTCCAGCAGAGGGCTACAAAGATGACTGGGAGCCTGCAGTATCTCCCCTATGAGAAAACAGACCCAGGGCTGTTCAGCCTGGAAAACTGAAGACTGAGAGGGGATCTTATCAACGCTTACAAACATCCACAGGGCAGGAGACAAGTGGATGGGGCCAGGCTCATTTCAGTGGTGCCCAGGGACAGAACAACAGGCACAAAACTGAATGCAAAAATCTTCCATCTAAACTTATTTACTTAATTACTTATTTACTGTGAAGGTGACGGAGTACTAGAACAGCTGCTCAGAGAGGTCATGGAATCACCATTACTCAAAACCCTTTTGGACACCTTCCTATGTGCCCTGCTGCAGGGAACTTGCATTAGCAGGGGGTTGGGCTGGATCATATCCAGAGATCCCTTTCAACTGCTCTGATTCTATGAAACCTGTACTAAAACGAATTCTTATGGTACACTGTGTGATGCAGGTACTTGTTAAGATCTTGCTCTAACTTACAACGCCATCTCATTTGATCAAAAGTATTTTACATGAACACAGAAAGTCATCCAGACACAAAACCAGTTACTGCATGCATGCTGACATTTCATTCTTGGCACTGGTGTATCTCTTGCACCAAAAGGACTTACTCATAATGAAACCCGATGTCGTGATTCCCAACAATAACCACCAGCTCAGTACTAACTGGATACTTAAACATTTTCTGAAATCTCCTGACATCATCTGCCCATGCCTGCAGAAAGAAAATGAAGAAATTAATGCTGTTCCACAACATGGGAGGGATAGGAGGAACTACAAGTGTATAATACAGAAGCATGCACTCAGTAAAATGCTCACGTTTCCTATGTTCTTTATCAGGTGGAAAGTGCCAAGATATTACTAAAAATGAAGGAGAATCACAACACATCAATTCTTATCTAAAACGCTACAAACTTCTACGAGTAGGAAAACTGTAGTAACATAAAACAAAGCCTTGCATACCTAGTCTGTTTTCTTCTGCCATCCATTTCCTTCAAGAAATCCTCATTTTTTGAAACAAGAGAGCTGTTCATGTCATACCTGAGGTGAGTCCCATTTTCCTTCATCAAAGACATCTCCCAGAATAAAAACAATATCTGGCTGCAGTAACCACAAAGCAGTTTGGAAAGATCTCTCCATTTGCCATTCCCTAGAGGGAAAACATGCACCTGGTCATCAGTGCATAACTTCTACATCCCCCACTGCAGATCCATGAACATAGCCTTTCAGGAATGGGAAGATGGCTCCTCCACGCTGAGAATGTTGCCAAGAAATTGCATTTAAATACTCAGAAATCGAGTTTCAGTGCTGTAGGTACCTCCTACCTGGTGTGGGTAATTCCACAGCAATAAGATCAGAATGAAATCATGCAAAAAGGAATGTCAAGTTGGTTTATTGCTACTGCAATTCCATTAAACAACTATTATTAGAATAGTAAATTAATGAATTAATTTTACTACACTATTATTTCTTCAGCAAAAGTTTATAAGGTTCATATCATGATAGAATCAGTACTTTTTCAGCATTTTTTTTTTTTAACCAAAACAACAACAACGAAAACACAGCTTTATGCAGTAGTCATGATTGGGTTACCTTTGATTTTAGATATGATTTTGCCACCCATTTTTCTACTATAAATATCTCTCAGCTTCCTTTTCTCTGCAGTTAAATGGATTAAATGTTGAAGCATCAAAGTTATGAGGCTCCATTAATTACCATTAAAAACTAAAGACAGGATAGAGATCATGCCAAAAATTAAATTACTACCTTCGTAGTTTATCCAGCCAATGTCCTTTGATTTCACCAAGCAGGTGAGTATCAGCTAAAAACATGGCCTTCAGGACTGAAGTTGAGGTCTCTTCATTACCTGTGTGAGCCCCACCTTTCACATCCGGCCATCGACATTGAAAAATTACCACGTAATAAATGAAAAATTCACAAAATACCAGCACAGAGCTGACAAAGCACACGAGTTTCAGCAGGAAATAGATCCTCTTCTTCAAAGGACAGCTCTTCACACTGGTCAAGCTGGGACTCGGCATTGCAGTATCAGCACAGGAGTCTTTCCCAGTGGCTAAGTTCTACTCTCTGAGGTGAGGACAGTAGGGTTTGGTCAGAGGGCCAAGAGGCTTCATATCAGCATAAAATCCCTGCGGAGAAAATAGAAAATAAAGTACTCAAAATCCCTCTGAAAAGGTGCTGTGGAAGGCCAACAGGGCTCATTTCTCATTTGTGTGAAATCCTTGGGATAGTAAGTATAAATATACATACACACAATCATACAATTGTTTAGGATAGAAAACACCAGCAAAATTCAAGTCCAACCATCAGCCAACACATACACATGGACAAAAACAATTTACTATCCCCAAACAAGTGAAATGTGGGAAAATGAGCCTAAGTTAGTGAACACATTGTGTTTCCTAACTTCTTCCACCCTGGATAGCTTGTAACTCAAACAAGGAATTCACTCCCTTTAAAACTGTGATTTTATTTTACACCTTTTGAAGGCTCATCCAAATGACCACTTTCACTCCCATAATCCACAACTGTAACAGGACTCAAGGATCATTTCACTTACTTACAGGCATTTAAGAGAAACTCAGTGCTTCTGGCTTAAGGAGGAAACACACACACTTTCATAGTTCTACTTCTCAAGTCTACAGAAATCTCTCACATGTGTCAATATGTACCAGAAAAGAGCATCACAAGAGAGAGGGCAGCGAGAGCAGCCCTACCAAGGGCAATCAGCCAGGGCCCAACACAACTTCCCAGGTCTTCAGTCTGCATCAGACAGACCACTTTGTAAAAGCCAACAACCAACAGAGTAGCAGGGACTCCAGGTAGCTATCAAGGTGCTACTCACACCCTCAACAACAAACTTGTACAGAAACCCACAGAAAATCTTGTCGTATTCCCCTATTCCACTTATTACAACAGCAAAATTGCACCCTAGTGGTAAGATGGATGGGACTTTGAGCAACCTGGTACATGGGAGGTGTCCCTGCCTACAGCAGGGGTTTGGAACTAGGTGATCTTAAAGGTGATCTAATTTATAACGGTATATAATCCAGTTCTATCTAAATTTAATTCTATGTGACAAAGCTACTGGCCAGACATCTCAGTTCCACAAAACAGAGGAGCCACAAATAAAGGCTGGTTAACTTAATACAAATCTTGTCTGCATTTCAACTAGCAACGCAAAAATCAGTGAGATCTTGTTTGTGCATCTCACAGCAAGGCAGGGTTACAGCAAAAATGTCCATCCAACATACACAGCAACAAGCACACAAGTAGGTAAACTCACCCTGCACAAACTGTACCTACCCTGTAACTTGGAAAGTAGTCTGTAGTAGTCCTAAGCAGTCTCCACTCCCAAGAAAAACAGTACCGAATTGAACAGAAAATGCTAGCAAGCTTATACACTTGCATTAGGCATGGAAAAAATAAGATAAAAATGAAAAATCACACGACTCTCCTTATCCACAGCCCACACAAAGCTTAGCACTAATATAACCTGTCACTTCGCTACCGATACCAACGTGTTCTCTAGTAGATTTTTGTTATGCCATTTTTCACACATCCAAGCTCTTCAGAAGCTGCCCACATACCAGTTCCCAGTGTGTGCACACTCACTCTCCTGCCTTCCTGCTGCTGGCTGTTAGCGTTCTGGGAGCCGTTTACTGGGTGGGGAAGATGCCCAAAGGTCTCCCATCTGCATCCTACACTTCCAGTGAAAGATCAGAAGAGAAACCAAAATATGTGAGACAGAACCAGCTGAAAAACAGCTCCTGCAACAGAACACCCATCTGCATTGCCCGTGTCGCTCTCCTACCTCCCCTGCAGCCTGCAAGCCGACAGCTGCTCACATCCCGCCTGCGCCGTGTGCTCACAGCCACGCATCTCTGCACACCAAATGGCAGCGCGTGCACCAGTTGTCCCAGCCTCACATACGGGCACCGACAAGCAGAGGCCACACGGAAGAAAGCTGTTCTCTCTGTCACACGTGACGGAAGGGCCAAAAATAGCGCTGTGGGACCACAGATGCACTGCAAGATGGAGCTGTGGTGCAACACGGCGCTGTGCAGCGCTGCTGCTCCTCCTTCTCACAAGGCTGGTCGTTTAGGTTGGACCAAAACACACGCTGTCACCAGGGCTCACAGAGCTGTGCCAGCAGAAGAGACTGAGCGATTTCTCACTTTTGCTTCTCTAAATAGATGGAAATAATGGCAGCGGCCAATGCAAGAATGATTTTTAAAGTTTCCTGAGGTCATCACGAAGGTGAGATCAAGATTTTTCAGCTGGTTATCCAGCTTTTATTTACAAGCGAGGTAAGGATGAAGCAAGATACAATGCTGCGCAGACAGACCAGGAAGCAAGGAACTCAGAGCTTTATCCTGTCTCTAACTTAGTGAGCACGTAACCCTAAATACCTCATGTTCTTTTAAGCCAAATTATTAATTTACGCTATCAAACTATCACAGTGTGATAGTCTCTGTGTTGTTATTACACTGAAGAAGCTGCATGAGGGTATAAATAAGCATAGTATTTCTATCCTCATGATAAACTCCAATTTTCACTCACTTTTTCCATTGTATGTCACAAAGTTACAGCATTCAACCTTCAGAGAATATAACTCAAGGTCTATATGTGCTTCAAAGCATAACAGTTACAAACAAGTTCAGGTTCCAACGTCCAAGTTTTCCCTCTTGAAATGCACAACTGAGTTCTCTCTTTGCATTCCAAGCTTTTTCTCAGCCTCTCTCTCCAAAGCAACGCGACGCTTCTACCTTGTGTGCTCTGACTCTCAGCACTCAATCCCTATCAGTGCTTCAGATACTGGAGTAGTAGCAATACTCACTCTGCAATCAAATAAGAGCTTCTGATGAGTTAAATATGTATAATCATAGAATGGCCTGGGCTGAAAAGGACCTCAAAGATCATCTAGTTTCACAGAATCACAGAATTGTAGGGGTTGGAAGGGACCTCTAGAGATCATCGAGACCAACCCCCCTGCCAAAGCAGGTTGCTTACCTCCTGCAAAGCAGGTTTCAACCCTTCTGCTGTGGGCAGGGTCGCCAACCACTAGACCAGGCTGCCCAGAAATGTAAATACACATATAGAGTCAATCAGTAGAATGCCAGTCTTTACATGTCTTTTATATACATACAAGGTCTTTTGTTGGTTGTTTTTTTTTTTATATGTATGTTTTATTTACAGGAAATGCCATATTGGGAAATTCTTCAAACTGAAACACAAAGATTTGATTTTCCCACAAACACCCACAACCACGGCTGCAATTGGTGCATTTTATGAGTGTGAAAGAGAGCTCTGAGAACTCAGCTGAAGTTATGCAGACCACAGTTTATTTAAAAACCAGACGTACATAATCAAATGCATAAAATACAAAAACACTTCAGAACAGCTTCCTACACTGAGCTGATATTACTGATTTCCTAACAGTATCAGAATGTGGCACTACATTTCAAATTTGTAGTATAAAAAAAAAAAAAAAAAAAATGTAGAAAACCTACTTGCCATTGGATTATCAGCAGTTACAAATGTGCTGTAAAAGGAAGTCCAAAGATTACACTTATTTGTTTCAAGCACTTCTCATACTGATTATTCAGTTTCACAGATTCCTGCACAGCGCGCTTTAGATCTTCTATCTCTTGGAAAAACTCCTAGAAAAACCCAAAAATAATCACCTCAGTTTCTTTGAAGATATTCTCCATAACAGCTGGTCAGGGTTTCTCTTGTTCCCACGTTCAGACACTTTCTGTTTTAATTAGGATAGGGCCAAGTTCTGCAAACACAGCACACATCCACTATAGTCATGTGAAATAGTTTAAAAGCTTTGCCCTGAGAGGGAACGCAAGCACAATTTAAGTTACTTCAGAGCCTGAAATAGAGACTGATAATGGGAAAGATACAAGAGACACGAATAGAAGGAAGAAAAAAAAAGTTGGCTTGTCAGAAAGATAGGAAATGGCAATCCAAAATTGACAAGGAAATAATGTCACTGTCACAGACTCTCCCGTGCAAAAATACAGCAACACAGGAACAGAACATGGAAACAATCCAAGTTCAAAGGATATCTGAAATAAAAATACAGAGAAGAGTGAAAAAGAAAGGTTTCCATGAGATCTGAAACAGTCAGCCAGCAGTAGAAAGCATGCCACTGACTTGGAAGAAACTAAAGGAGTAAGACTATAAAAAGGGGAAAATAGGCAAGAAGAGATGTAAGGAGAGCCAACTATCAATACTAATGTTAGCATTTGAACAAGACAATAACGAAGAGTTTAAAGTGGAAAACAGATTCAACATTTAGAGATGGAAGGATATACATTTCTTCAAACCGTGAACTTTGTTATAAATTGCTAGGGTCAGTTTAGAACCTTCAGTACAGCTACATCATGTTAATGAATGGCTGTTTCAGATCTATTATTGACGACTGCACTAGGAGTGGACAGATCTATGATGCACTAAGATAGATCACTAAATGGATAACATCATCCAACAGATTCAGCTTGATCAGACAAAAGCAATTTGCAAGAAAGCTGGGAATGAAGAAGAGCAGTATGTGAGGCTGCAAAAAACACAGAAACAGCTCAGTAAGCAAGCCATAAGAACTAGTCCTGGTGAACAGCAGCCCATAGGATTCACTTCCTCACAGCAGTCCTTTTGTTATTACAGTACATAACTTAACAAGTACTTCTATCTGTACTTAACTAGATCAGTTCAGCTTCATAAAAATAAACTTCAGCTATTACAATACTAATAGCTTACAGCTAAGATGAAACTATTTCTTGTTCAACTTCTACAGCTCAGGTCTATTGAGCAGTTCAGACGCTCTGTAAGCAAAGTCAAAAAGTGTTGGAAAACCTAAGGACTGTAAACAGAATATAAGCAATCAAAACTTCATTTCACCAAATCTGTAAAGTCCTACCTATCAAAGTAACACTGTTATCTACTTACATTTGACATCTTCTTCTGCTTCTTGACTTTTTTTTTTTTTAAAAAAAAAAAAAAAGGAATAGCTACATACATCCTAAGTAAGCACAGTGACTTAAAACTACCAAAAAAATGGGTCCATAAGTTCAGAGCAGCATTTTCTTCTTCTGAAAGATCAAACTTTCAGTTATGAGCTGTCCCTGACTTCCAAGCAAGGGGAATCTAGAACTTATCCAGGCTCAATGCTCTACTCATTTCACATCTAATGAATTAGCACCAGGTTTTACCGCTACCTCTGTAAGAAAAGTGAACAAATATTATTTGTTTTTAGAAAAATTAAAGCATGTCTTATGCTGAAAATAAAATCTTAGACCAGTAATATTAAACTGAATCCTCTACAGCTAAGTAGGGTCTCTCCACCTTCCCATATCAATCCAAGAATTATCAACCTTTCACTCTTCCTCCTTTGATAACTGCAGAGACAACCTGCCACAAGCCCTTCATGACCCTCCAAAGGTCACAGTTCTGCCACAGACACAGTTTCAGTTACCAGCACTTGTAATTTTTACCTTGTAACAACAGAAGACAAAGAATCACACTTGGAGGAAATTAAACTGTTGAGCCATTAAAAAAAAGCATCTACAAGAAAATCCACAATTTTAAAGTAAAAAGAAAAAAAAAAATCATAATTATTCTTCTTGGTCAGCCAAGCAGTATTGCAGGATATGAGTATTTCAAGGAGTCATTCATTTCTTTTTCAGAATGGCATACACTGGTTTTTTTAATGTATTTTGCTTGCTAAAAGCCAAGATAGAAAAGTTTATTTTTCCAAAATAACCTGCTCTTATAAGAACAGGTCCTATAAGAAATTACCTTGTCTAATCCAGCTAATTCCTTCCTTAGTGCTCTCCTTTCCTCAGACAACTTTTCATTTTCTTTCTTCAGCTTTTTAATCTCCTTTAGCAACAGCTCTATATTCAAATAACAAAATACAGACTTCAGCCATCACAGTCAGCCTCCCCCTCACATGAATCACACCGCAGCTAAAGAGCTGCCTGCATTTTTGGTGTTAGAAAATTATGCTTCAGCTTTTCCAAGTTATCTTTTTCTTACAGTGACTTATTCTCAAGAATTAGCCCAGTTCACCCCCAGCTGCTAGAAAAGGCATCAGAATCTGCAAATTGGGCATTTTTGAGCCGATTCCTAGAACGTGGGGATTTTTCTTTTCAAAAGAAGTTGCAAAACAGCTGCATCACAGCTTGATTACCATTTTCTGACTTCAGAAAGGGTCACATCAGCAGCTGTTGATCACTTCCTGAAAAATTATACATACATGACCTCTTCAACTTTTTTTTTTTTTTAATAATGCTTTGAAGAGGAACAGAATTGTACCTCATAGCTTTAGATTCATGAGGAAGACGTGCACAAACCAACACTGAATGGATTTATTGCATGTGTTATGGCTAAAAACAGTTTCTCTTGTGAATTGCTGTCTAAAAGCCAAAGGATGTAGCTACTAAGTTTTGTACAAATGAAGTTTACTGGAATAAATAATGAATACTAGTGAATGCACCACACATTCATGCCCCGGATTATAGTGCAGAATTGGATTGACAGATACAATATTAAAATGGCAGCATTTTAGATGCTGCAGTGTAAGAAATAACTGGAGAGTGCCTACAGATCAGAAACTAAACTCATCCCCTCTGGTGATCATAGTAAAAGGAGCATCATCGAAATGAACTATACCATTACCTATGTATTTACTGCAGCACGACTCCTCCTTTTTAGATGTGTCTCTGTGAGACACTATTTCTCCCCCTAGGGTTCGACTTCTTTTCCCAGAAACAGCGTGAGTTTTCCACAAAACCTTATTACGTTCCAATTGCTCAATCCTTTGCTTCTGCTCTTGAAGACTGTGCTCTAGCTCACAAATTTTCATCTGTCAAGAGACCAAAATTTATTTTAAAATGCATAGCAGAAACATAGTTCAACTGAGTATGAATGGAAATGTATCCTGAATGCAAACCTAGAGCCTTCAATCTCTCAATTAAAGGTACGTTCATCTAGAAGTGTCTGAAAGGAGAGGAAAAATGCAGCAACTGAAGATCTGCACACCTCAGAAATGTTTTTAAGAAATATGTAACTGAGCACACAGCCAACAAAGCAAAACTGTTCATGCACAAAGATGCACAAAGATACCAAACCTTTCCCCACAATACACTCATGGCAGCAGTTCCCAGCTTTTACGAAAGGCAGACATAATCCAGTCATAACAAACATTCAAAATGCAAAGGAAGCACACGTTCACAAACTCCTGGGTAAAAATTCATTATACTGGCCAGCCACAATGCTACTAAACGGCTGAAGAGGCAAAACCCACTTGAAGCAGCTTCTTGGGCCACTCCTGACCACACAACCAAACCTTTGCTTCAGTTAATGCTATTCTCATGTACAGCAAGCCAGAAGATCTTGCTGTCTGAAAAATACTCGCTCTTTTTGGTTAGGTTGCTGCTGGGCTCCTGAAATAAATCGGCTCACAACACATACAGAAAAATATCACAGCAGAGAGGAAAGAGGGAAGAATGCATACATAGTTGGTGGGAGAGGCAGATAGATGAGAAAAGAAACAAGCAACAAAAGAGGAGAACAAGTTACAGACATACCAGGGACATGGTTCACCTCCAAAGTGAACACAGACTACTTCCCATTATCCCAATGGCATGGGAAACGGAAGAAACAATGAGTACAAAAAAAAAAAAAAAAAAAAACTTTGCAAAACCCATGCTGCAAACCTAAGAATGATTTTTCAGTCTACCAAAGAGCTTATGTTTGGCTATTTGATACCATCTCCTACAAGTTCTACTTACAGTGAGGTTTCTAATTGTTTCACTTTGTTCCCGGTTTGTTTTCATTTCCTTAACGTAACATTTCTGTAGATTACTATACAGCTGTAGTAGTCTAAAACAGAAGAAATGTATAAATTGCAATAAAATACGAACGCCAACAAAACAAGCTTTATCATAAAGGTATCATACATGTCCCAAATGAATCCTTTGGGTAGTAGTTTTACTGTAGACTTGTAATGGAAATATTAAGATTGTTACAAATGAAGTTTGATCAGCAACACAGAAAGCACTGCAGAAATTGCAAAGTGAGAGATAAAAGAACTGTCTGCATCAATGCAAAGAACCACTATCACACAGGCCAAGGACTCAGTGCTTCTCACCAGCCCAGATGGCCACACTCAGTACAAACAACCTGCTGAGGGAAAGACCCAGAACAGGAGGGCGGCAGCAAGTTTGCAATATATCACATCTGTCATTTGTTACCCTGTCTCAGTTTCACCCAGGACGGAATTGTTTTCTTCAGAATGTCTGGTATGATGCTATGTTTTAATTCTAGGAGAAAAAAATGCCGATAACACACTGATGTTTACAGTTGCTGCCAATTAGTGTTGTACAGAGCCAAGGCCTTTGGCAACAAAGGGCCCAAGGAGCTGGGAAGGAACAGAATTAGGACAGCTGACTTAAACTGGCCAAAGGGATATTCCATGCCATATGACATGAAGTGGAATGAGTTATGAAGTGGCTGGGTGCTCTTTTGGCTCTCTTCCACTGCCAGGGGGCTAGCTGAGCATTGGTCAGGGAGGTGGTGAGCAATCGCTTGTGCATCTTGTTATATACATTACACACTGTTATATACATTTACACACACACACACACACACAGTCATAACTATTTTCCTTTATCTTATCTATCTTAGTAAATAGTTTTTATCTCAACTCACAAGTCCTGCGTTTTTTTGTTTGGTTGGTTTTTTTTGTTTTGTTTTTTTTTTCCTCTCTGCTCCCTGATTCTCTCCCCTGTCCCACTGGGAAAGAGAGGGAACAAGTGAACAATTGTGTGGTGCTGAGCCACCTGTTGGCTTAAATCAAAAATAGCATAATAGGAATAACAATGAGACAACTACTAAAGGATATGAAGGAGTTTGGCTTTTGACACCCATCAAGAACCCAAGAGACACAATGAGAACTCGAAATGCAGCATCCCCACCTCTCCATGTTGCTCCCAAGCAATCCTGGCCACACCACTTAAACACACCTCACTGCTTGTAAGTATGACTGAGTGAAATCTATGGCACAATGAGTGCAAGTGAGCAAAAACCTATCTAAAATCCATGTTAAATTAACAGATTTGAACAGTTAACATTACATTTCTCTTTGATATTGCCTTGCATCAAGATCTGCTGCACTAATTTCCCATGGTATTCCATAGCATTCAGTGTACAAATACCAGATTAACGAAACAACTGATGAATATCAACAGATGTTTTTCCCTATTTTATTAAGAATTAGGATAAGAGCAGACATTCATACTATGTTATGACAGCAACACAAACAGGATGAGTGATACTAGCACAGTAAAGCTCTGTAAATAACAAACAAACTGATGATACAAGTGAAGTTAGTTGCAGATGCACAACCTAACACAATACATGGCCAGCATTTGTCTCTAAGAATAATTCAAGTATCTTCAACCAAAATCACACAGTCCAAGCCCAGAGCTAGACACCCAGCCACCCTACATAGTTGACAAGAGTCTGGTATGCTGTAAGGTAATTATATTAAAGACAATTAAAAAAAAAAAAAAAAATACAGGCCACCTAAACACTAGAAACAGTGCGTGTGAATCCCCAGCAGCAGGGCTGCTACTATCTACATAAGATGCACAGACCAGAATCTATTCCTGTAAATGGACAAAAGCTTTTGAAAGAATGGAGCAGCCTACTTCAAAACCAAGTTAGATTGGGCTTGACCAACATTTTATATAACAATGCCTAATTGCTGAAATTTTTCACTATGCATTTTCTTAAAACGCAATTCTACCTTTTGCATCCAAAAAAAAAAACAAAAAAAAAAAAAGCAGTTACAAAAATTCATTTTTAACATTAACTGGCAAACTCCAGTTAATAGCGGCTCACTTCTCAAGTCAATTAAGATTGGAATATAGAACCACTCATCATGTGACTCATACTGAGAAAACTATTAGCCTATACGTTTTATATACATAAAAAAATGAGCCATTTACAATTTCCTCTTAAAAAAGGAAATTGTATAATTGTAGGTTATTAAAAATCTATCAAAGAAGTCACTTGTGCAGTGTACGTGTGTATAAATAAAACATGCACATATGCATGACTGAGTGTTTTAATTTGATTTTTCTCAATGAAAGATTTGTCATGGAAACATTTGACTCAACCACGCAGAATACATTCTACTGTAGAGAGAAGCATATGTTTAATTTGCTGAAGAATCAGTTTCCAAGAACTCACCTGGCACTTTCACCCTCTAGATTAAGATTCTTGCTGTATCCACCCTTACGCCATACGTGTGTGTCTGTTTGAATCTGAATGCTTCACCAAAAGAAACACAACAGCTTAATAATGTTAGATTTTACAATTTTAATTGGCTCATACAAAACAACAGAAAAATAAAAGTTTAAACTCCTTTTCAGTTTGAATTTACAATGGAAGTTTTCAGGCAGGATCATGAAAACACCAAACTTGAAAATTGTGCAAAAATGTTTAAGTAAATGCTGGCAGGACGCTTCTTGAAGCATTACAACTACAGTTTCTCAGGTCCTCAGGGAGGTGGTGAGCAATCGCTTGTGCATTTTTTAAATGATGCAACTGAAGTCTCTCACCTCTGTCTGGAGGCAAAACCCTCTTGAGCTCTTATGGTTTGGCACAGCTGGCACAGGGCTGTTACCCAGTGATATCAGAAGTGTTTACTTTGGTATAACAGTGACAACTTCATCCAAATCACCCCAGCCATTCTTTATCTGTCCCCAGCATCCTCCCATCCCCACCATAGGAAGGATAGATAAGACTCGGTGTGCCTGGGGGATAACGATGGACAAGTCCTGAAATGCTACTCTCCTTCAGACACACACACACACACACACACAGAAAAAGAGAGATCAGTTTGACAATGAATTCTTACTCCCTGCTGGTGACATGACCACGTGCTAACTGCCGCTGCCGCCCTTCTCCCTGAATCTGAGCCAAGTCCTCTTCCAGCTCCTTATTCTTTGTTTGTAGCTTTTTCATCTTCCTGAGTAATTGCTCATTTTCGGCACCGAGCTGAAAGGCGAAAGAACCAAAAAGGAGGGACGGCGCTACACTTTCAGATAACGTATTAACGGATAGGATGACGTTTCAGGCTATAATTCCCTCCTGCAGGTTTTGCCGCGTCCATCGTGAACCCCTCGCGGGCACAGCCACGCCAATCACCTCACCCACCGCCCGAACGCAACAGCGGCGGCCAGGCGCACAGGCTATGGATTCCAACCGACGCTATCACCTCACGCTCGGTCAGCGCAAGGCCTCGAAGCGAAGAGCCCGGGCCCGACTCACTTGCAAGCAGCGGTGCACGGAGGGCAGCGCCATGGCGGCCCCGGGGCTGAGCCCAGCCCGCTGCCGGCCGCCCCCGCTCTACACACGCTGGGCGCAGGCGCGACGGCTCCCGCCCCGCCGCCGAGGAAGCCCGCCCTTGCCGAAGCAGCTCCCTGCAGGGGGCGCACAGGAAAGAGCCCAGCTGGGTTTGAGATGTCTCCGGAGAAGGAGACTCCACAGCCTTTCTGGGCAGCCTGTTCTCAGCGCTCTGTCACCCTCACTGCAAAGTTCTTCCCTGGGAACCTCCTGTGTTGCAGTTGCTGCTAGTCATCGAAGAGTCCACTCCCACTGACTTAATTCCCATACTCTAGATATTTTAACAGTGATGAGATTCCTCCTCAGCCTTCTCTTCTCCAGGCTGAGCACCCCAGGTCCCTAAGTGGGCCCTCCTACAGGAGATGCTCCAGGCCTCCACCATCTTTGTCACCACCCACTGGACTCCTTCCAGGAGATCCCTGTCCTTTTTCAACCAGGGAGCCCAGAATTGGACACAGGGCTCCAGATGTGTCCTAACCAGGCCAGAGCAGAGGAGGATCTCTTCCCTCAACCTGCTGGCCAGGCTCTTGTTAATGCACCCCAGGATCCCCATGGCCTTGACCACAAGGGCACACTGCTGGCTCATGGCCAACCTGCTGCCCACCAGGACCCCCAGTTCCTTTTCCACTGAGCTCCTCTTTGTAGAGAGGCATTCAACAGCTCTCATCCCCTCCACTGCCCTGGATCAGCCCATCCCTGGCTTGGCCAACTCCTCACACTTAGCCTTGGGGTCAGACACAAAGTAAAAGCCATGGCACACGAGATCCACACACAAGCTACAAGGCAGGGAGCAATCCCCAGAATGCATGGGATGGAATGGTGTACTCATTCTCAGTGTGAGGATTTCTTCACAGGTTCCACAACTCCAGGAGCAGCTGAACTACTCCACTAATTCTTCAGGCCCTTGGCAAATCATCTTTTCCCCAAGGCGTACAGCAACAAAACCAATACTCTAATCAGCACTGAGATTTAGAACTATGTAAACTATAAAGTAAGTGGCTACAATAGCTGCTGGCAAAAAGAGAAAGTGTATAATAGATCACAAGCTGGAAAGACAACAGTGATATATTCAGATGGAATAGTAACACAGTTACAATAACACATAATGTTACAATAGTAACATTGAATCAAACAACAAGAAAAAAATACTTGTATTTTCAAACTCTTGGAAAAGCCATTTGAAGGTTTTATCATGCACATGAAAATCATTTTCAAAAGTGGTACTTGATCTTGGGTGGCTCCACTTCAGAATAAGCATCCATGCTTCCAAATTAAGGATGTTCAATAAATTTGCTAAAATAACCCAAAGCTGTGTAGCACAAGACATCAGATATTGGAGCATCAAAAAAATCAAAATATGTAAGCATGCATGGATATACAAACAAGAAATACATTTTCTGTGCTTAATTAAGAAACACATTCATTTTCCAGAGAGATTAACAACATGATTTTTAACAAACTTGTCTGTGTCAGCAACAATATAAAGTGCCATTAAAAACACTTGCTTGTCACTGCAGGAGCATTTCCCTATGTAACTATTCAAGCAGTTTGTTGAACACTTTTTTTTTTTTTTTTCTTGCATTTTTGTTTCTAACAGCTTTGTATGCAGAGACACATTTCATGCTGGCACACACAAATGAAAATGTCATTGATTCCACTGGTGTTGAGCCTGCTACTTATTGCCAAGCAGCAGGAATGTGACCCATAGCACTTTTTTCAGCTACACGTGCACCAAAATCATTGATTGAATTTGTCAGAAAATCTCTGAGCGCGGGATTACTTGATGCAACCCCATAATAACTCCAGGCACAGCTTTTTTTTTCCAGACAGATTAGAGGGCAGCATATGTCATTCTGACTCTCAGCAAGACCTACTATCCTCAGGAGATTTTCCAGGAATTAAACTCTCCTGTGAAAATCTAGATGCCTTTGTGAAAGCGCATAAAAATTTCATCTGCCTCAAATGAATCCCTCTTTCATCTACCAGCTGTAACAAAGATGGCTCCTAAGTCCCTTTCCGTGTGGGAGACTGAAACATTCACACATTCTTTCTAGACATTACATTCTTTGGCACAACCAGCCCTGTCAATCTCACGGACAAATGCCTGCTGGAAAATCCTGGAACAATCTTGAACCAAACGGCCAACACAGGGGAGTTTCAGTTTGAGCTTCGATCCGAAAGCAGAAATCCAGTTTGCATTCAGGATCCTTCCTTTAAACAGGAAGCAACCTGGCTATGCTGAGCCCTAGCATAACTGTGGAAGACAGTTATAAACTATAAAGTTTAGAATTCAGATCCAAAGTCAAATCATACTATTTTCTGTATATCAAACACAAGGACCTGATTGGATTTGATTTGAATTGAAGCCAGTTTGAAAATTCTAGAGAACACTGAAGGACACCATTTTGCTATAATCTGTCAGATTTTGAAGCCAAAAATATTAAGTTTCACGTTATCAAACTCCCAGAACAGATCTGAAGGTCAAATTCTGCTTGAGACTAACTTCTTGATAATTTGTGGCAGGAAGGAGAATGTGGAGGGCACTCTGTGAGTAGCGACCTCGGGGCCTCCTAGACACAGAGGAGAAATGCGGTCAGGGTATGACTGAGCAACAGAAAGGAAACACAGGCAACAATTAACACACCACTGAGAGCAGCGCAGACCGGAGTCACTAATGAGCATTCTGTGAAATACTGCCATTGTTGGAAACTTCTTTTTGTTTCTGATGGAGCAGCAGAACAAGCACAAGCAGTGGTTTCTTCATGGGAATCCAGCAAGAAAGTCTTTTTACAATGTACCTTCTCTTCTTGAACACCGCAAAAAAAAAAAAAAAAAAAAAAAAGTTGGACCAAGCATCCTCTTTACCAGCCATAAACTCTACTCAGCAACATGACAAACTAAAACTACAGCCACACTGCAGTACTCCGAACAATAAAAAGTTTGCCATCAGGGTTACCTCTTACAGAGGACTGTCAGCCTCAAACTTCATTCTTGGTGGAGTACTGGGAAAAATTCCACAGAAAGGAGCTAGAAACAGTAAACATCAATTTTATGTGACTAATCCAATATAATCCTACGCTGTGTAAAAAGACCACCTGTATGGAATCATGATGAAGTGCAGCAAGCCACTGGCTGTCATGCCAAGGAAATGCTCTCTCACACCATCAGGCTAATAATTCCAACAGATTACTTTCTCACCCCTCTTCGTTTTTATTAAAGCTGTTAGTCACTTGCTCTCTCATTTAATTTCCTATTAAGAGATCATCCATCAAACCTGCGAAGTATCTGAAGACATGTGCAGCCTCCATGGTGCTGGCTGGCCAGCTGCAAGAGGTCACTCATTCTCTTTAAAAACTACAACAAATTGTATTGCATCAGTGCAGCATGCAATTACTGTCAAAGAAGAGAATGGTTGAGGAGTAAGTAAACCAATTTCTGTCGCAGCAGCTTCCCTTCTCAATGACCCTACTTTCAGTACTGCAGACAGAGCTGGCTGCAAACAGGATCTGGGAGGCACAGACAGCAGAGAAATGCTGCGCAACAGTTTAGAAAGGGAAATGAAGGAGGACATCACCTCCAGCTAGCTAACACTTAACTCACAAGGGCTTCACAGCTTGTGAGAAAAGGAAATCAAAGACTACATGCACTCCATGCTCTGTTTTGCAATGTATTTTCCCCTCCTCTGAACACTCTTGGTCTCAGGAAAGGAAGCCTGAACTGCGAAAGACCGAGGTCAGGCTCAGAAGAACTCAGACCCAAGAAACACCGGTATTTCAAGTTTACCTGGGATGAGTCTACTGCAAGTCAATGGGATGAAAAGCATGGCATGTGTGTAGATTACAAAATGAGTGTGCGAGGAACTGGCTAGCACTAAAGGTTATGAAAGATCAGAGCTTACGAAAGACCTTGGCAGCCATGAAAGGTGAGCCCAGAGCCTGAGCCAGCAGGCAGAGAACAACTGCAGCGTGCCCCAAACCACGCGGTTGTGTGAGAGCAACTGGCAGCTCACAGCAGCAAGCTCCTACTGCTTGCAGGCCTGGGCTAAGGGAAGCCTGAAAAAACTTCAGAACAGAAGTAATTAAACAGCCATCAGTGAATAGGAGCCTTCTTTACAGAGTTTACAGGCAACTGTAGTGTTTTGCAATGTATTTTGAAAGGTCTTAAAATACTAGCTCCAGTCAATGATTTCCTAAGTACTCTTCTTGGCTCTTCATTTCTGTTTTCCAATGTTTCACCACTATTGAGATGAATTTGCAAATTCTGAGGGTTCGTTCCGTTGTTATTTCAGCCTTCAGAACTCAGCCTTCTGTGATTCTTTTACTAATATCCTTCCACTAGTGGGAAAGGAAGTTGTGGAAATCCTACTGAGCTAGACGGAGTCACTCATTTTCCAAACACCACTCAAATCTCACTTAAGAGAGGACACACCAGCTTGTAAAATACTGGGGGGAGCACCTTCCCATTGTTGCAACAGCATTTCACTGCACCAGGGATTTCCTACCATCATCTCCAGTGAGGTTTTTTTCTGCATCCCACCTACTATACTATCACACTGCACTGTTTGTAAAATGCAAGCTCCAGAGATGCTCCAGACATGAGCCTAACCACAGCAAGCCTCTGAATGCTGTAGCAGCTCTGAGACATGAGGAGAAGCTACTAAAGTTCAGGCTGGTGTTATGACATCTCACTGGTATGTTCACTTACTGCCCCAGGACAGCTCTCCCAGCAAGGTCCTGACATTACCTCAAGCCATGCCAATTAAATTTTGCCTGGTCCTTACAAAATTGTCAATATTATATCAGGGATAGTAAGTTTTGTTGTTACATACTTCTCTTAATGCAAATACAGGTACCACTAAAGCATTTTTATTTTAGCCAGACTAATATAGATTCCAAAAGGTCACTGAAAATGAAACCTTCGATCACAGAGCAGCTGCTGAATGACAAAAACAAATTTCATACACTCAATGTATTTAATGCCTGTTTCAAAAAG